CAGCTGCAGGCTTGTGCCCTGTGCCCGCGGGCACGCGTCTGTGCACAGGGGAAGAATGAGCACACAGAGCCTTCCCTCACCCTCCTCGCTTCAGAAGTGCATCCTCTTGAAATCACAGCCATGAAAAAAAAAAAAAAAATCACAGTCACCCTCGGAAATCTCTCCAGGACATTCGTATCAAAAAAAAAAAAAAAAGAAGAAGAAGTTTAGACTAGGTTAGAGTGACGTTATTGGGTTGAAGCAGGACAGCAAAAAGGGAGAATGGAAAGAAGAAAGGTTTTCCATCTCTTGTATTTCTCAGAGTTCAGGCAGAGGTTGGAGGCCCTTCTGTGGCTCCTGATGCGCAATATATCTTCAAGCCAAATGCTGCTACTTCATCAGAAGTGGTTGGTGGAGACATTGACCTAGGGTTGTCTGAAGGGCGAGCCGACCATCATGGCCGCCATCGCAGGCAGACCTTTGGAGGGGCAGCCACTGGTCACCCTGGGTGTTTTACGTACACACATTGCTTGATTCCTCTGGGTCATCTGTGGTTTATAGCCCCCTCAAGACATTCCACTGGGAAGCAGCAGATCGGGATGACCTTGCCCTGGGCCCCTGAGACAGGGACAGAGCCCCCTCCACACTGTGGGCGGGGCATCCACATGGCGCCAGTCCAGAGTCCAGTTTGGCGGGGAGCAGGCAGAGCTGCAGGCGGGTGGTCTGGCCCAGGGGACTCTGCTGTTGCTCAGCCTCGTGCAGCACAGTGCTCTCGTCCCTGAAGAGGGCTGGCCCAGAAGCGGGGCGACAGAGGGTCTCCAGGTGGCCTTCTCCCCACCACGGCATCATGGTGGGTATGGAGCGGCCCCGCAGATCTCGGACTGGGTTCCCTGGATGTTTATGTTCTAGAGCCCCTTCCTTAAATCCCATCCCTTTGCTTCTGCGTCTGCTGCCCTGATGCTCCGTGTTTCCCGCCGGTCGCACATGGGCACATGCTCCGCCAGCCGTGTTGGTCCGCCGTCTTGTCTCCTCTTGTGGCTCCTGCTGCCAACTGCTCACGGAGCCACTCGCAAATGCAAGCCCCTTTTTCCCGTGTCCTACCTACCTGTCTCTTCCTTGTGTAGCAGGGTGAACTGGTCCACTCGTGGGTTCAACAAGCACCTTCTGCCGGTGGCTTTCCACGGCCGGCACACGGTAGGCACACAAAGGTAGCTGCACAGACTCAGCGGTGTTTGCTTGTTAGAAATTGTCCACTTACTCTCCAGCAACTTCTCACAGCACATCTGCCCTCTGCCCCATCCTGGGCGAAGCCCAGGGTCCGTGACATGAGGTTCCAACTGTCGGGGAACTGATGTGCTAGAGGAAGGAATGGACACTTGGGGCTTGATTACATACTGGTCAGAAACACAGGCAGTGATGGGAGAGGCTGAGCAGAGCCCAAAGGGGTCTGTAGGGTTGTTGCAGTCTGGGAGGACTTCCTGGAGGAGCTGAGGCTTGATGGGATCTTGCAGGTCAGCTGGAAAGGAGGCCATTCCAGGCAGGTGACCAGAGGTGCAGGTGAGGGAGGCCAAATAAGTCAGTGGGAACCTTAGGTGAAGAGTGTTTCAGCCCGAGTGTTGGGCTCCTCTGGTTCCAACGGCTGTCTTGTTGAGGAGGGCACTGCAGGGCAGCCGGGATCCTGACCCAGCACCCAGGCCCTGGGCCACCCACCTGATTCTCCACCCAGCTCCTCAGGATTGTTCGGTTGAAGAGCATACTGCTGGTTTTGCCCAGGCCCCAGCACCATCATGCAGCCCGTCCCTGGCAGCCCCCCGTGTCAGTCTTGTTAAACTTGAGGCCAGCAGTGGGAAACCCAGCTGTTTAGACAGGAGGACAGAAGGCTCTGGGAGGTGTGGCGCCCATCTCGGGGAAGACCCAGAAGAGCCAGAGCCAAGACCAGTGAGCCAAACCTCTAAGAGACAGACATAGGCCGGAGCTGAGGATGAATGGCCCGGGTGTCCTGATGGCAGTGAGCTCTCTGTCCCCACAGCCTGTGTGGCCCCACTTGCTGGAGAAGCTGCAGGGTGGAAGGAGTTTGACATAGACCCCCCTCCCACCCCAAGTCTGGGATTCTTGGGGGTGAGCCATGGGACCTTGGGGCATTGTTCTTTGTCATCTAAATTAGAGACCCAGCCTCCCGATTTAAAGCAAAATGATCAACAGTGAAGACTGAGATGGGAAGGCTCTCTTCCCTCTTCCTTGAGGACCTGGAAGCATCAGTTTGCCAGAATTCCTTCCATCTCTAAGGCTTTCCTGTTGGCCAACATTTGCCTGGACCCAGACTGGCCCCCATTCTGCTCCCCTCTTCTTGCCACTCCAGATCCTAAGGAAAGGCCCCCAGGGGTGACCAAGGGCAGGAGGGACACTCTGCTGGGCCGAGGCTGTGGCACACCCCTGCCTGCTCCCCCCACTCCAGAAGGGGCATGGCAGCTCCAGCTGCCGATGAGACTCTGGGATGTGAGAAGAGTCATCTGAGGTCACGGGCAGACCATGGTAGAGCTGGGCCCAAGAGCAGACCTCCCAGCTCGGTCTGGAGGTCTTTGCACACCCTGTGCTGTCTCTCCATTTCTCCCCGACTTGCTTGGTCTCAGTCGGTGGCTAGAGGTTTGAGAACCTGGATTCTTACTTCTCACCCTAGAAGACTGGACGTTCTGCTGCCCCCTAACTGGCTAAGCCTAGAATGGGGTCAACACTGAGGGGTTTCCCTCGTCGTCCTCAGAGGCTGGTCCTCGCACGCCCCGGAGGAGCAAAGCAGGACTCCTTGATTATGTGAGGCCCCTGCCTTCCTCTGCCCCTACCCCTCTCTCCCTGGGAAGAGGCCCCAAGCCCACAGGGTAGGAGGAGAGGACAGGGGCTAGAGGCCGTGCTTTGTCGCTAACTAGCACACATTGCCTGCTCTCTCTGGTGTGAGTTTACCCCCAGTTAAAACTCAGAGCTTGGGCTGGTCCCTACAACCCTCAGTCTCTCTAGCACGGAGCTCCCCATGCAACCCATTCCCTGTTGCTGTGCAGGGTGGTCCCAACCCCAGGCCGGATGCCAGAGGACACTCGAAAGGTCCGTGGGGTCATGGGATGGGGCCTGGAGATCGGTGCGGGGGCGGGAGGGGCAGGGGTTGCCCTCCAGTCTGGCCTCCAGGAAATTGCATAACAGAGATGTTTATTTTTGGTGAGGCTGGGTGGGATTTCTCTTAAAAAAAAACCCAAAACATAAAACTTGTTTGTCTGCCAGCAAGATAAATATCTTCGCTGAAAGCTCTTGGCCGGGCTGCCAGCTGCAGTTTGCATAATGTTGTCACTGCAGCCGTGGCGGTCTGCGTGTGCCCGGGCTCACGTGGGTGTCCTGCGTGATGCCTGGGGGCTGCCGCCCTCCCTGTGGCATCAGCGCCACCAAGGGCCCCCTCGAATAGCCTCCCGATGCCGCGGGTGGATCGGCTCCGAGCTACAGCCTCAGCCCCCAGGATGCGGACGGAGTCGGGAGACCTGAGCCAGCAGCATCGTCCTGACACTCCATGCCCACCACGTGGACCTGCTCCCAGAAGAGGTGCTCACACCAAACACACGTGCGTGCGACCGTCAGAGCTTGTGCGTGTGCAGGCCTTCTCCAGTGCTCCCTGGAGGCCTTATTGTAATCAGAGCTATCGTGGGATCCTCACCACACGGGCCGGGATGGGCGGCGCAGCAGAGAAGGGCTCCCACTGGCCTCTGGACACCAGGCCAGCACCCACTGTTTGTGTACCCAGATGCTCTGGGCAGGGGCCCCTGCTGGGAAGACTTCTCCAGGGCCAGAGTCCTCTGCAGCTCAGAAGCCCATACTGGAACTGGGGATACACCAATAGGGACAGAAACCCACGTAGCCTGCGCTGTGCTAAGGGCTTTGCCTGTTGGCCTCCTTAACCCCATAGTGCCCCAGGAGGAAGAGCCTACAAGTATCTTCATCCCTATTTTACAGAGGGGGAAACTGAGGCACAAAGAGGTTAAGTGAACTGTCCCAAGTTCACAGCTGGAGCGAGGTGCATGTGGGAGTCATACCCTCCATAGGCTCAGGAGTCCACACTCTAACCTTCACTCTGAGGCACGCGTGTCTGCCCAGGGTGCTAACTGGGCCATTTGGACGTGGACTAGTTAGTTTCTCTCTTCCCCACTCCCCACCAGCTGGCCTCCACCACCTCATCCCTGACCTCCATAGAGCTACTGGTCCTGCCCAGCTCTGGACATCTACAAATCACCCAGTAGAGCCCCATCCTGGCAGATGGGGTGACTGGGGGCTCAGCTCTGAGCTTAGTGTGACTCTAGTGGGGCACACACATCAACATCCTGGGAATGCAGGTGCCTGCCCAGCTTCCCTAGTAAATGCGCCACTAGCCTCAAGCAGGCATGGCCCTGCGTGGACAGTAGGTGAAACCAATGAAGGATGAGGGCGTGACCCCTCATGCTGGATTCTTCGGGCTGGGGATTCTTCTCCGCAACTTCTACTGAGCCCAGACAGGACCAGGCCTAGATAGGAAGGGCATTCCTGTCTGTCTCGACACTGGCCTCCTCCCTGCCCCTTCCTTGCCCTGTTGGGCCAGACATGGCTGCTGAATTAGCTCTCCCTGCCCCTGGAGGTCTGAGGCACTGGGTCAGCATTCCCCAGCCCAAAGCAGAAGTTCTGGCAAAGGGGGTCCTTCTAGACAGAGGAGCCCAGAGTCGGTGGGAGCAGGGATTAAAGGTCCAAGAGATCAGATTGGCTGTTCCAGAGTCATATAATGTTGATGCTAAAAAAGGTCCATTCTGAGATGATGGCAAAGTGGCTCAGAGAGGGAAACAGACTTGCCCAAGGTCACACAGCATGTTAATGGCAAGTCAGGATTAGAACCAGGAACTCCTACCCTCGCATCCAGTGTGACACTGATAGGGAAGTGGCAGGGGAGGGCTCTCCCTGTCCCTCCCTCCACTCTTGCTTGGTTCGGTCATTGGTTTCTGACCTTGTTTCTTCCCCCTCAGCCAAAGAGAGCTCCCTGGGTGAGCCAGAGTTGCCGCCTGACTCTGACACCGTGGGGATGGACAGCAGCTACCTCAGTGTGAAGGAGGCTGGAGTGAAGGGGCCCCAGGACCGGGCCAGTACCGACCTCCCCAGCCCGCTGGAGAAGGCCGATTCTGAGAGCAACAAGGGCAAGAAGCGGAGGAACCGAACGACCTTCACTAGCTACCAGCTGGAGGAGCTGGAGAAGGTCTTCCAGAAGACCCACTACCCTGACGTATATGCCCGGGAGCAGCTGGCCATGAGGACAGACCTCACCGAGGCCCGTGTGCAGGTCAGTGAGGGCTCCTGGGGAGAGATTGGGAAAGCAGGGCTTGCACCCCGGCTGGTGGCCAAAGCTGGGACCACCCGACTGTCCCTCAACCACACCAGGGCTTTCTTTACCCCAGTCCAAGGACAGCCTGCCCCTTACACCGGGGCTCCACACAGGGAAGTCTGCTGTTTTCCACCTGAATATCAGGCTTCTTGCTCTGGCAGGAGCAGGTACAGAAGACTGTTAGCTGTATTTCTGGGCTCTGTGTGGTGTGAGTGTCCAGGCCATTTCACAAAGGAGAAGATGACTGGGCTCTGCCTTTGAAGGCCTATCTCTTAGGAAGGGAAGAGGATAAACCTAAAAACATCTATAGCAGTCCAATGGGCAGAAACAGAGAACAACCAGGCTCTTCTCTATGCCCAGGACGGCTGCCTCCTCCTCCATCTTTTGATTCCCAAATCAATATACCTCCTTTGTGAAGTCTTCCTGACCATAGTAGCTAAAGCAGTAGCCCCCTAACACCATCCAGCCACCAAAACACCCAACCCAACCCAACCCAACCCAACATAACCCAAACCAACACAGCCAATCCAACACAACCCAACAGAAGCCAAACAACACAGTCAACCCGACCCAACATGCTCAACACAACCCAATAGAACCCAACCCAACGCAACACAACCCAGACCAACACAGCCCAACACAACCCAAACAGCACAGCTTAACACAATGCAACAAGACCCAACCCAGCACAACATAACCCAAATCAACACAGCCAACTCAACACAACCCAACACAACGCAAATACCACAGTCAACCCTACCTGACATGGTTCAGCACAACCCAACACAACACAACCCAGACCAACACATTCAAAACAACCCAACTCATCCCAAATCAACATAACACAAGACAAGCAAATCGGGTCACCTTCAACCATATTGTCCTGTTTTTTTTCTTCTTTATAGAATTTATGACTGGCTTAAATTATTTTATGTTTGTCTCCTGTCACTATAATGTGAGTTCCTTGAGAACAGGTACTGTCTGATTGTTCATCACCGTATTCCTACCAATTAGAGAAGGCTGAACTCAGAGCAGTGAGGGCAAAAAATAAGTATTTGTAGACCGGTGGACCTCCTTTGTCCAGAGAGGTGTGTCCTCCCTCCTCACATGAAGTTACAGCAGGAAAAGAAGCAGAGAGGAAGCAAAGACCTCTGAGTACCCAAAGCACAGGAGACAAAATCCATGCACTAAAGCTCAGGCTTCAGCTTCACACAAATAAATGTCACGCTCAGTCTATTTTTCTACCCCAGAGCATGTTAGAAATAGCAAATGCAGTGTTATCACATAGCGGTTTTTTCCCCCTCCAATGGGCTGAGGAAGTCAATGGCTTGACAGCAAAGAGCAGTTCTTGTTTTTTTGTTGTTTGGTTATATTTTTGTTTTGTTTTAAAACAGCAGCTTAGCTGGGCTAGGCTAGGCTCAGCACAGAAGTGGGCTCAGGGCAAGACAGAGCCTTCCGTTATCTGCAGACCCCAAAGGCGCCCCCTGCTGCCTCAATTCACTAAGGAACCTTCAGCAGAGCATCATTAGGGCATCGGTAAAAGGTTCCTCAGTCCCAGCCATGCTGTGCGTAAAAAGGCTGAGCAATCATTGTCCAGAAATGATTTCATTCAGAATAGATCATGTGAGAAAGGACCAGCTGTCACCATAACTATGCAGCCATCCAGAAACTGTGGGTACCCAGACTGAAGAGTCGGGTTGTTTGGCCACAAGTTCCCGGGGTCTGGCTGCCCGTCTTCTTCCTATCCAGCGCCTGGCAAATGGTTGGGGAAGGAAGGCAGGGCATCTGAGGCTGTCCTGTCATTCCAGAAGTGTCACACACCAACTCTCTTGTTTGCATCAGGATAGACTGCCATGAGACCTCACGGGCCTCGGAGTCTGGACAGGAACTCCAGAACCTGGCCTCGGCCCAGGCCGTGGATTGGGAGGAACTAAAGGAGCCGGTGGAGAAGGGGGAGGCCGGTTATGGGACGTTCCCGTGGGTACCGTGTTGGTGTGGGTTTGACTGGTCCATTCTCTGCACGGTGTGTGTGTGTGTGTGTGTGTGTGTGTGTGCGCGCGCGCGCGCACGCGCGCACGTGTTCCTTACAAGTGGATGGGAGCGCCCGAGAGTTGAATTCACTTAGTAACAAAAGAAGGACGGCTCTTCTAGGACAAACCATGGAAATGACACTGGGCCGTAGAGACCATTTTTCAGGTGCCATCACCCGGCCAAAGCCGAGTGTTCCCTCTGCGTGTGCACACACATCCATTTATGCCTACTTTCAAAACAGAGTCGAGGCAGCTACAATTACAGCTTTATTAACGTCACCTAAAAACAAGAACAGTGTCATGAAATAGGCAGGTAATTAGGTCAGACATCAAGGCTAAGAATCACGCCTGCCACTGAGCACAAATTTCAACCCTGAGCTTCCTGGCAGCCAAGGCAGAAAGGGAGATGCTGATGTGTTGCATATCTTCTCATCTAAGGGGAGGAGCATAGGAATATAGAACGTTAGTGCTAGAAAGGATCATCGATCTGGTCCTCTGCTTTGATAATAAGTAGGAAGAGGCCCACAGGTGGGACATGATCACCTGTGGTCAGGTGACTCCTGAATAGTGACTCAGTGGCAGGGCTGAGACTAGAATCCAGGACTCCTGAGCTCCAGCCCATGTTTCTTTTACTTTAGTTGGCTCTGCCAGGACATGGGCCATATTGTTCTGAGACTTTTCTTTGTATAAAGGCAGCAGGGTGGGTGGGACTTCCATGTGCGTCAGACCTCTGGCTCGAGCCTGGCAGTGCCCTGAGGTTTGAGGGGAGTGGCAGTAGAACCCCCGCCTGCCGCTGCTGGGTTTGTTCAGGGCCCTTACTCAGCTGGTGGGAAGCCAGGTGCCTGGCGTAGAGTGGCGCTGGGGACAGGGAGGGGGGTGGGCGGCTCCAAGATGGACCTTTCCTGGGAAGAAGCTCGGGGTTTGGCCCTGCTCCAGGGGCTGCAGGGGCCTCTCTCTGCTGTCTGGGATTCCGATCTCCGCAGCTGGTGTCTGAAGACAATAAGACAGAGGCCTCCCCGCCCTGGGCCACCCCGCCCTGGCCCCAGATGGGCTGCGGTTACTGAGGCCCCCGCCAAGACGGTTGGTTCCTTGGGGAGAAGCCTGTGCTGAGCAGGCCCAGGCCAGGGTGGGCCGGGAGCGGGGTGGTCCTGGGGCGCGACATGCAGACTGGAAGGCTGGACCTCATGGTCCCCTCTCTGCCCTAGGGCTGTCCTGTGGAGACAGGCTGGGGCCGCAGAGCCCTGAGACACAGAGCATCTGTGAAGAGCTCTCAGAGCGCCAGGCTCCAGGAGCCAGAGCTGGAAAGATGGCCACGCCTAATCTCCAGGCCCTCCACCGTGAGCTCAGAGGGGTCCTGAGGATGCCTGGCCACCACCCAAGCTGGGGGCCTTGAGGCTTGAGGCTGCAGAGCCCCGGGGCTTGTTCAGCAGCAGAGTCCCAGCCCTGTACAGGAACAGGGCCCAGGGCTGCAGGCAAGGAGGGAGGGCTTGGGTGTTTCTGCGGCCCCTCAGCCTTGCCTCCCACCTCCCGAAGTCTCTGGGTCTTTAACCCTCCCGTACATCCCTGGGCCCGGCCCTCCTCCACTCCCATCCCAAAGATAGCACCATCTCTGCCGGTGCTCCCCTGCTCCTCAGCTGTCTTCCCAGATAACCCAGCACCCCCACTGCCACTCCCCCACACTCACTCCAGCCCCCACATTCCATCTCTCCCCACTCTGCTCCTCCTCCCACTTCTGGGACCGGCTGCCCCCTCCCCATGCAGTGCCCCCCAGCCTGTCCAGAGCCTGCCAGATACCTCCACTGGCACCCCTCCACCTGCCACTCCCGGGAACACCCCCCGACCCAGTGGCGGCCACGGACACTTTTCCTCACCTTTTCCCCCCCAGCCCCCAAGAAAGAATGGAGCCATATATCTTGATGCCTCCAGTGGGCTTCTCCCCTCCCCCTGGCATCCCCGCCCCCCCAGCAAACCCTGGGAGGCTGAGGAAGGAGCGGAAAGACGGAGCTAAGCCTGCAGGAAATTAAACATGAAATGAAAACAAGCTCCTCTGATTCATTCTCTCATCCTGGCCCCCGCCCCCCATTCCAGGCCACTGATAAAGGGGGATCCCGTTTCAGCGGCACAGAGAGGAGACCTGATCTGCCCTTGGCTCTCAGCGGGAGGCCTGGGCCTGGACCCCAGGAGCCGCCGGAGGCAAAGGGGTCCAGGAGGCTCTGGAGCAGGGGCTGATGCGTCTCCTACACCAGCCTCAAGACAGGGAGGCAGGATGGCCCTCAAAGCAATGCCAGCCCGTGTGTGTGTGTGTGTGTGTGTGTGTGTGTGACACTTGTGCACACACACATGCATCCTTGGGACCAGAGAGGGAAACCGAGGTGCAGCCTCAGACTCACTCCCTGCCCCCACCCTCCCCACATTCCCATGAGTCATGCACACCCCAGCTTCTTTCCCTTTTAGCAAAAGACAGCAAGAAAGGTCAGGAGCTATAAATAAGCAAGAGCCAAGTACTCTTCAGAACTCCCTGACAGCATTTCTCAGCTCTCACCCGCTGTTCTGTGAGGCGCCACTGCTGTGAGGACATTAGTACAGATATTGGCCCCATTTTCCAGATGCAGAAACTGAGGCCAGCGACAATGCCTGTGCGGGAATGGGCGCTTGGTGGCGCAGCTATGCTAGAAGCCAGGACGGGCTGAGCAGCTCTGGGCTGCCGTGAGGGAGCCCTCCCACCTCCAGCCTGGCTCCTTCTCCCTCCTCTGAGGACATCCTTGGTGCCCTCAGCAAGGCTGCCAGCGGGCTGCCTGTGGGGGGCTGTTGGGGTGTGCCCACTTGTGCCTGAGGCTGTTGGCAGGGACACATCCTGTCCCGCTGACAGAAACCTCCCTCTGGGCATCTCCGAGGCCTGCCTTTGACTCAACCTGAAGCCATCTGGGGTCTGGAAGCTGATCCCTCCCCTCCTCACACCCTCTCCCACCTCTCCCGCCCCAGATCCCAAGTCTCGGGGCAGGGCTAGCAGGCCCCAAGCCGAGCTCTTGCCCATGAAGCCTGGGAAAGCTCTCAGCCCGTCGGAAGTGCTCCTGTGAAGGGCCCAACAGCCCCACCCCCAGCCATCAGAGACCACCCTCCCCACCAAGGCCCCACCCCAGCCAATACCCCACCAGCCCCCGCTCAGGGACAGGTGGGTTTTCACTCCTCCTCGGAGTCAGGCCACCCTCTGCGTGAGACCTCGCAGTGGCCACCTTTAGGGACCACACCAAGATCCAGCCGCTTGGCTGGGCATCAAGGCCCTCCACAGTCTGACTTCTGCGTCCACGGGCCTCTCTCCCGCCGCCTGCCAGCTGGGCAGCATGGCCTCCTGGGGCCTGCCCTGCTGTGTCTACACTAGGACACAGCCCCAGGCCTCTCCTCCACGAAGCTATCCCTGACGGCCTCTGCTGCCCGGCTGAACCCTTGTTCTCCACAGGACCTTCAGCACAGGGGGCCTGAGTGGGGACACTTTCCAACATGAAGGCAGCAGAGAGGCTTAAGCTAGGTAGGAATGCGGGTTCTGGGCCACCGGACAGGCCCCAAGGACCCACAGAGCTGGTGGAAAATTATGGCCAGACTGTGTGTGTGTCTGTGTACGTGTGTATGAGCGTCTAGAGAAAGATTTTCTAGAGGAGCTGTCACACCTTTGTTCAGGTTCCCCTCAGGAGTCCGTGTCCTGAGGCAGGTCAGACCATGCTGGGCTGGGGTTGGTTAGATGACCCCGAGGAGGACCAGTGACATGATGCATGGGTGTGACACTTGCCCGCTCTGGATCTGCAGCTCGGAATGATAGAGTCTGGCTCAAGATCACACTGTGGGTAGTCGGGGGTAAGCTTGCCTTCCCGACTCTCAGCACGGATTATTCTAGATTGTGAGCTTGGAGGCAGAAGGCTGAGGCAGATCCTTCCCTGCAGCTGCACGGCCCAGACCTGGCTCTGAAACAGGTGTGGGGCTCCAGGGAATGACAGATACGGCCTGAGCCCCAGCACAACCGCTCTGTCCTGTAGGTCTGGTTCCAGAACCGGAGGGCCAAGTGGAGGAAGAGGGAGCGTTTCGGACAGATGCAGCAAGTTCGAACCCACTTCTCCGCTGCCTACGAGCTGCCCCTCCTCACCCGGGCAGAGAACTATGCCCAGGTAAGTGCCAGCCCCGGGCTCAGGGAATGGGCATCTCAGAGGAGGGCCTCCAATGGGACTCATCAAGCGGGGCGCAGGCGTGGGCCTGTTCACCCCAGAATGTGGGAGGCCCGGGCCGTTCCTGCCTACCTCACGTGCTGGCTCGGGCTTGGCTGGGCGTTAGGGATGGGCAAGCCGGGACGGAGACGGTGGCTTTCTCCTCTGCCGCATTTGCCCCTTTTGCTGCGGGCATCGGAAGCGAGTCAAGGTGCCAACCAAGGCCTCCAGGCCAGTGGGAGACACTTGGAGCGTCTCCCAGGACAGCCAAGTCCAGAGAGCTGGGGGTCTGGAGGCAGGGCTGTGGTGAACGTGGAGGTCTGAGTCCTGAGCGGGGCTGTCGTCCGGCCCCAGACCTTTCTCACTTCAGACAAACCACGAGCTCTAAGCCTCAGTTTCTTCTGAAAATTGCACATGATGAAAGTACCCACCCAGCTCTTTTGTGAGGTTGTGGAAAGGCCGAAATGAGACAACACAGAAGTGCTTCAGGGATTAAACAGCCAGATAAAGGGCGCTATGCACCCTCAGCTCTCCCAGCGGCTGTGTCGCATCCCGTCCTCCCCTCTGTCCCCTGCTATCAGCCTGTCTCCACTCTAGTGGCAGCGGAGTCTCCAGTGCAATGCAGGGGTGAGAAGGAGTGTGAGCAGTGGCCGACACTGGGGCATCTGCGGAGATGTCTTTCTGGCCGGGTGCACTCGTCACAGCCCACAGCCTGCCCGGCAGAGGGGACCTTGGTGACTCTTGGTGACTGTGGCAGCAGGGCCTCTGCCTTGAGCTCCAAGCCCGGCCCCACCCAGCAGTGAGCTGGTGGTGGTGGCGCAGGCCTTCCTGTTTCCTTTAAGACCCACTGTCCTGGAGCCCTGCTATCCCCCACCCAGCCTCTGGACGCCCCTCCCCGCCCCCCACCAGCTCTACCCCTCCCCCTGCCAGGATTCATGTGGCAGGGGTCAGGGGTCAGGCCTGGGGTGAGGCTGAGGAATGTGGGGTGCTCCCCCCACACACGGGCCTCGCCCTCAGCTCCTGCTGCACACTTTCATCTCTCCTGCTCTCTGTCCTGGGAGAACGGGCCCCTGGCTTGACTCCTGGGTCTGGATTTCCGCTGCCTGAGCTCCCTGCTGGAGCGGAGGCAGGGGTGGGGGGCAGGGGGAAGAGGACCAAGACAGGGCGGGCTCATCCCTCCCACCTGCAGCACCACATATCACACACCTCTTGACGGAGGGGAAGGGAAAGGCCCCTGATTGCCCATTGCTCCTGCCAGGAGCAATGTGGTCAGGCCAATGGGCCAGTGGTTCTTGTTGCCATGACAATGCCCCATGAGACTTGGGGGCCGAGCTCCCCCCTTCATTCAGCTTTCCAGTGCCTTCCCTGAGTAGACTACAAACATGGGCAGGAAGGAGAGCAGGCCAGCAGAAGCCGCCTGAGGGTCCCCTGTAACCCACTCACAGGGCTGAGAGGGCTTGTCTCCTCTGGTCCCACTCAGCCTGTCCCCACCCCCGGCAGCCCAGGTCTGCTTCCAGTCCACCCCCGCGTGCTGCCTGAGCACCTCTCACACATGCACACACACACACACACACACACACACACACCCTGGCCTGTGGGCACCCGGCCCGGCCCTATCTGTTCATGCACGGACACTCACTACGTCCTGAGGCAGCCCCTTCCTTCCTAAGTAAGTTCTGGAACCTCGAGGACACAGCACTTGGAAGCTCAGTCACTGGTCTGGACACCGGGGAGAGGAGGCCCCACCGCCCAGCTCTGCCCCCACCATGCCACAGCCTGCCAGCCTGGAGCCCACCTTCCCAACACCAGAGCCCTCTGAGTTCAGGTCGGCTCCCGTTTCTAAGGTACCTGGGATGTCCCAGGCCTGGCGAGGAGTCACAGGGGAGGGGGACAGTCGCTGACTTCCAGGGGCCACGGAGGGAAAGACGAAGCCGGCCACTGCATCTCAAATTCAGAAGTCAGCTGGCTGAGGTGGGAGCTGCCCTCAGCGGCTTGGCCGTGCCCTAAAGGCAGCCCTGTGACTGGACCCTTGACCGAGTGTGAAGTTCAGTCCCGAAAACCACTTCTGTCTGCGGGGAGCAGAGGAGCCAAAGCGCAGAACCCGAGCCCTTCCAGGTCCAGATGGCCATCAAGGTTTTGAGAGGCTCCCGGGTGAACACCCAAGCACGATTTCGTCATAACTATGGGCTTGTGAGCAGGGCGAGGTCGTCGGGGGGGTACGCGGCAGCGTCCCTTCCCCGCCATGTGCCTGCCACCCCCACGCCTGCCCCTAACCCCAGCTGGCCTGTGACAGCTCTCCCTTCCCTCTCCCCAGATTCAGAACCCGTCCTGGATCGGCAACAATGGGGCTGCCTCACCAGTGCCAGCCTGTGTGGTCCCCTGTGACCCGGTACCTGCCTGCATGTCCCCTCACACCCACCCCCCTGGCTCCGGGGCCAGCGGTGTCACCGACTTCCTGAGCGTCTCCGGGGCTGGCAGTCATGTGGGCCAGACACACATGGGAGGCCTGTTCGGAGCGGCGGGCCTCAGCCCGGGCCTCAACGGCTACGAGCTCAACGGGGAGCCGGACCGCAAGACCTCGAGCATTGCGGCCCTGCGCATGAAGGCCAAGGAGCACAGTGCGGCCATCTCCTGGGCCACATGACAGGGCACCTCTCGGCCTATCCCCACGCCCTCCCCCGCCTTGGGGCACTGGCCACGCCCACGCTTCCCAGGCCCCCAGCCTCCCATTCGACTGTCCTCTTAGGAACCTGGCCTGGGCCAGGGGCCTGGCCCTCAGCACTTTCAACCACCCCGAGTGTGAGGCCCCATGGACCGCTGGGAGGGAGGGGGCAGCAGGTCCCACCTGCCTGGGCCCCGAGGTCGAGCCCCTGCTCCTGGCCGGAGGCAGTGGAGGAAGCCAGGTGCCCAAGTTTTACAGCTTTGCGTCCATTATAAGCTGAAGACCCTTTCTCCCCACCCCTGCTCCCGTGCCCTGCCCGATTTGAGGGTTGAGTCAAGGCTAGGTTCCCATCCAGACCGAGCAATAGCCACGTGCAGTCACGTCCGTCCTTCCCTCCGCCGTGTGGTCCCCTGGTCACCGGGCCAGTGAGTTTGTCTGAAGTCCGGAGTCCTGTTCTTCAGGGTCCTGCAGAGTTGCCCTCCTGCCATGCCCACCCCCCTTTCTCCTCTTAAAGCCCTGACCCCCTGGGCCCAAGGCACCCGACTCACCTCCACCCACCCTGGCCGTCCCCTGTGCTGGACCCACCTGGAGGGCTGGACAGAACAGGAGAGGAGCTGAAGAAACCTGCTGGCATCCAGCAGTGTTGGCGTCTGGGAGCGTGGACAGCCCCCGAGGGGGCAGACTCTGGATCTCGGTGAACACTGCGAGGGGAGGACCCAGACCACCCACAGTACCCATGGTGCTGGAAGGAGAAAAGCTTCTAGAGAGAGGAAGAGCTGCAAGGAGGTGTCCGGGAAGGGACAGGGGCTCAGGCACTCACATCTGCTCTCCTGACCGCCCGACGCCCCACAGCCCGCAGGACGACTGTTCCAGAGGGCAGGTCTAGGCAGCTTTGTTTTCTAGCCTGCCAGGCCCCTCCTGGAGGACCTGGAGACGCCTGTCCCTTCCCCCACCCATTCTGGTCGCTTGCCAGGGCTGCTGAGCAGTGTCCTGGCGTGGAAGGACTTATACCTCGGAACACAGAGTAGGGCCTGGAGTCATGTCGGCAGAAGGGGTCGAGAGCAGCGTGTGGAATTAGCTAAAGGATGTGTGCTCACGCTCAGCCTTTCGGTCCCCACACTGCCTCAGGCTGCCTGTCCCCTGTCAGCCATCCCTGGAGCGGCACCCTACCTGCCCAGAGTCCCCCACAGTGGGTGGGGACCCCATGTTCTACCAGGCGAGGCCAGAGAGGGCCTGCTCTTGTACTTCGTCCCTAGGGAATCCGAAATCTCAGCCCCTCCCTCTCACCAGCCTCTAGAAGGGCTGGTGGGCGCCTCTCCTCTGGGTCACTTGCTCTGTCCCGGATGTGGGGGGCAGGATGCCGTCCAGAAGCCGTGTCCCTACCTGCGGGAAGGTGCTTCCTTCTGGGGAGGAACTCCACACCTGCCTGACTGGAGACGAGCAGCTCGAGTTTTGGTACCAGATTCAGCTGTCATCTAAGCTTGTGATACCCAGTCCCTGTCCTCTGGGGCCACCCTTTAGAGCCCGAGGCCCCTCCAGTGAGCAGCCCCTGGGGACAAGTGCTCACCTTTCCTACCTTCTGCCTTGATCCTATCCGGGAGGAGGGTTAAGTCCAGTGGGCTTGGGGGCCTGTACACAGGACAGCCTCTTGGCTTGGGTGGAGGGTGAGATCCTCTCCCTTTGAGCTGCTCGAGGTTTAAAAGGCATCATGGTCCCCACCTCTGCCTTGTGCTCTCATCTGCCGTGGAAACAAGCCTGGGGAAGGATCTGGTTTTGGCCTCCCTTGGTAAGAGTCAGACCTCTTTGTGAACCATAGCCCTAACACTGATCTTCTAGAAGCGATCTTGAACATTAAGTTAAATGCTGGTTTTAAATGATCCTTATAGCTGAGGATACTGGAATGACTCTTAGGGAGCCTTTTCCAGTTCTGAGGTTCACTGAAATAACTCAGGCTCCCCAAATCTAGGAAGGGAAAGGGAGAAACACTTAAGGCTGGGAATCATTCCCTGTCTTTCCCTTAAGGGCTCCGGTGACTGGCAAGGACAAGGGAGGAACCCTCGTCATACCATGTTCTCACCCAGAAGGGGATCCACACAGAGGGATGGAGAACTGAGAGATCCCCAGAGGAGGAGTGGAGGGGGCTCTAGGCAGATTCTTCTGGAAGGGACCCCTGGTGCTCAATCCTTCTATCTGACTGCTTTCTGGCTGGGCTAGACCAAAGTCAGACAAATTTCAACCAAAAAGCTCAAGAAGAAAAAGCCTCTAATAGAGGGGAAGCCCTGTGGTTCTGGCTGTCCTTCCCACCCACACAGCCAAGTATTTATGATTAAAATGTCCATGTGAAATGTGCCTGTTCACCTCCCCACAGGTAGCTCCCTGCCCCAGGCCCCCAGGGCCGGCCCAACGCTCCAAGAATCATAGGACCTGGAGCTGGGAGGGACATAAAGACCCTCTACTTAGTGTGCTCCCTTCCCAACAGAGAGGAGAAGGTCCTGGCTGTGGTGGGGGAGGGCCAAGTGGGGGGTGACTATCCCGGGGAGCAGGGCATACACGTAGCCTTAGCCCGCAGGGGGTGGCGCGACCTCCTGCAGCCTCTCCACTCCCTGCTGGCTGTCCTCCCTCTCCTCAGCCTTCCCTCTGCTGCCTTCCCAGTGGGAGGTGAGGCCCAGACCTCCCAGGGTAGGAGGCGGCCCCACGGCGGCCCCTGCCAGTACTCTTCGAGCTTGGGGGGACCCTCGGGGGCTGGCTGGCTGGCTTCCTCGGGCGCGAGGGCTCAGGCAGGTGGGCACAGAGGAGCGCCAGCTGGCTCTGGGGGCCACCTCGAAGCACATAAGCTGCAGGGGTGAGGCTTCCCTTTGGCTCCGGGCCTCAGGTCTCACAGAGCCAGAGATGCGAACCCTAGGCAGCCTCCTCAATGCTGAGGGGGCGTCTGGGCCCCCCTGGGAACAGGCCCAGGCAGCCGGGGCTTGACATGAAGGTGCTGCTACCGCCCTCAGCGGCCCTCTCAGCTCCCGGAGGGTGCGAGAGAAGCGGGCTCTGGGGGCACACGGCGAGGATTGTCCCCCCCGTCCTCGATGGCACTGGCGGGACACGGACTTCGTAACCTTTCTTGAATCCTTTCAGCTATACTTGATTCTCGGCTCTCGCTACCGCACCTCCAGCTCGGGCAAGCAAGGTGGCAGGGTGGGTTCAACGACACTGCAGGGGGAGGGGGCAGCCGTCCCGAGCTGGGTCCCCAGAGGCAATGGCCACATGGGGCCCAGCTCCAGGGCCCCCTGCCCGCCATGTTTTCGTCGGGGTAGCCAAGAGGAGCTTGTCCATGAAAGCTACCGTGTGTCTCGCTCAGGCAGCCGTTCTCTCTTGGGGCCGGGTTGAGGGGACACTGTCAAGTAGGACACTCCGGGGCCTCTGGTCTGCTTGATGGCCCTCTCAGGGCCAAAGGCAAACAAGACTAGCTGGGGGATGATGGTTGCCAGGTTGGCCCCCAGGATAACCATCAAGAGAAAAATGAGAAGACCAGGAGAGCACTACTTCCAAAGTCACAACAACCCTGCTCCCCCTCGCAGAGGTGGCCGCAGGGAGGAAAGGCCTTCTGGCCAGACAAGCATGACCTAGTCCCGCCCTCCCCTCCTCCCCTTCACTCACACACATAGAGCTAGGCCTTTATACTACTGATTTTGAGGGACAGTGTTCAATGCCTAATGATCTGTTTGGATGTGCAGTGGTGGAAAAGAGAGCTGAGCGCTCCAAGGAACGGGAACCTCGGCCAACACTGACTGTTCTCATTGTAAGATATTTTAACCCTGTATAAACGCAACTTTTCCTTTAGCTTAATGGCCTGGGGTGGAATATTAAAAAATATATATTAAAGATACATTAAAAATTCAGAAAAAAATGTTTAAAAAAAATGAGGTCAGTTCCATAAAGTTTTACTGCCTTATAGCACCATGTAACGACATTATAGCAAACTATTAAAAGAATCATTTCTTGCCTTTTAAAGTAAGTTATTGCACTTACATCTTCTTGTGGAAGGGGAGGAATATTGACGAGAAGGGGACTAGGGCCTAGGCTTGGGGCCGAAAGGCTCGGCTGGCAAGCACTGGGCGTTCTGGTGCACCCTTTGCTGGGCACAGCCCACACTGTGTGTTTGGTCGGTGTTTGCAATAAACTCCTTCTCCTTCCTCCTCTCAACTGGGACCTGTCTGTTTTGTTCCTGACTTGTGACAGATGAAATGTGATCAGAGGGGCCTCTGAAATCTCACATTAATTGAAGTCGGCAAAAAATACTAACAGTGCCCTTTTGAACTGCTGACACAGTACAGAATGGATTACCAGGGCTAGATTAACAACAGGTGGCCAGGGCTCCTGCACAGAGAGGGGGCGCTTGGCCTGCAAGAGTCGGGGACAGCCCCCCTTCATCTCAGTGGACCTGCCTGCACAGCAGGCAAGCTGTGGGGGAGGACATTGGGTGGGGGACGGGGGGACCCGAGTCCGCTTCTCAGGCAGCAGAAAGGGCCACCCCCCCCCACCCTGTGCCACCCAAGGTCGTGGCTTGGGTGTGCAGAGCACTGCCCATGTGCTGAGGTCCTCACAGTGGCCCAGCCGGCCCCTCGGTCCCTGAGCACCGCTCTGTATTTCCAGGGGCTGTTCTGAAAGCAGAGAGAGTCGGGATGTGGTGGTCCAGGATTGGGGAGACTGGCTGCTTGGCCCAGAGCACAGGACAGGCCTCCAGGAGAGGCAGGTCCCACTCCTGGCTCTACTCCTTAGTGGCTGAGGGAACTTGCAGGAGATGTAGCCAGATGATTTTTTTTAAAGCAAAGCTCTAGAAGCACATTATGAAACATGGAGGACCCAGGTTGTGCTATAGAATAAGGGCTTCCTTGCTTTCCGACTTGAAGGTGACTCACAGAAGAGGCTGTTGGCCTCTGAGGCACGACGGTGTGGAGAGGGGGGTCAGCTCTAATGTCGGAGTGGGCAACAAGCTTGTCCCTGACCAGTTCGC